CAACATCGGAGCCGTGGGCACGCATATTGACCCCTATACCCACACGAATGAATATTCGAGTGAACCTCTAGTTGCCGTATGCTATTCATGTTGCTTCGTGATATGTTACAAATACCCAAGGTGAGATTTACTTGCATCCCCGTGGATCAACAACTTGTCGACTATGCTAGTTACTTCGTTACCGGTTTTGTTCTCTTTTCTCGTTCCCGTGTTCCGGCAACCCTGTGATCAAATCACAAAGTGTCTGGCCAGACGATGGCGGATACCATAACACCGAGAGGGCCCAGAGATATCTCTCCATCGTCGGAGGAGCAAATCCCAATCTTACGCTATCAAGTTACTTGACACACTTTTCCATGAACCCATAAGCCGTCGTAATAGCCACCCATTTACGGATGGTGTTTAACAAACCCCAAAGTTCATGTAGCAAGTATGAAGAAACTCGATACTCTCATGGTCTAAGAAATTATGCAAACATTAACTATCTCTTTGTTATTATCCATTAACTTGTGACGAATGTATCTCATAACAAAACATCAATTTGGGTCGATTCAACACAAATGTTCTTCTAACATTGTGCTCCCAAAGTTGATGGCATAGACATGCCCATGATTAGGAAAACAGAACCATCATGCAACACTTGAGCTGGTCTTAGAGGCCAGACTAGGAATACATTTTACCATTTATTATTCCACACGTGCATATGATCCTTCCTCCAAGCCTCGTGGTTACTGCAGACTCGAGAACCATAGCAGTTGTATCATGGAACATAAACATAATTATGAACTTGGAGATAAATAATATCATTTATTATTGCCTCTAGGGCGTATCTCCTACAGGATGGGTGCCGTGTCAGATGGCTCGTCCTCCATGAACATCACCGGGGTAGCAGCAGGGATGTGCAGGGGAAGTTCTTTGGTAGTCTTGATCAACAACGGCGTCAGGTGTGAGGGGCGCGCCCGGACTTGCAAGTATTATTATTAATTAGTCACGGTTATTTGACAAACAGATTGCTATTAAACACCAAGGGTGATAAGCTTTTCGTTGGGGTTTCATTTTCTTTTTCCCTACATGGAAGATAAAGATGTATGATCAGACAAAGTAGGCCAAAACCTAAATGAATATAGGATCCAGTTATCATGATCACCTGTACACCTACTATCCATATGAGTCAGCATACATTTTTCCCAATTTAGCCATGATTGAAGAAAAGAACAACTGCTTGTTGAAAGTTATTATTCTTTTTTTCTTTCTTTTAGTTTTCTATTATTTCTCATTTCTTTTTTTAGTTTTTTTCCTTTCCATTTTTCCATTCAGTTTATCTGTATCTTTTTTATACACAAACATTACTAAAAACTTGTCATTAATATATTATAAATACATGATTAATATCTTTACATTTGTTGATGAATTTTTTACAAATATGTAGTTAATATTTTTCAAATAATACATAATGTATTTTTCTCACGCATGAAGTTTTTATAAAACATGTGATGACCAATATTTAAAATACACAATAGGTTAAATACGTGATGAGCATTTTTACATGAATTTTTTTTCTTGCAGTGATATAACGTTTTCCATTTTCAAAACTTATTTTCCTATTATTTAAACTGTTTCTTCACATCTGTAATAAAATATGGTTTTTTGAATAGAAATAGAAATCAAGCACTGTGTAGGGGTTTACCTCCGAGAAGCGCCCTAACATGGATAAAAACTCGTTCCTTGTTACCATGGTGTCTAAACACTTATTTCGGGACCTACTACCTGAGATCCTCGGATTTAGCTCATAACTCTTCATGACCGAAGAGATTCTTCAGCTCCTTGTTATGGGCAAAAAGGTCGGTGCCACCATCCATGAGCTCCACCACATGATTTATTTTTGTTTGATTTAACATCACGGTCATGATGGCTGAGCAGACATGCTCTCTTCAAGACTTTTGTCAAAGTGAAGAAAGAGAATGTCTCTGATGTGTCGGATTAGACCGAACGAGAAATTAGATTGACTTAGTTAAAATCAAATATTTTCTTCGTAATCTCCTCTCCATATATTTGTACTAATTTTTTATACTTCCTTTTAAATTGCTTTCTTATTAATTAAATTTCATGTTATTAATCACATGTTCATTAGATACTATTTATAAGCTATAATAATACCTTCTATGTTTAATGTTGTGACTAGTTGAGTCAAAGATTAAGATGAAATTTCATATTATGTTTGTATAATGTCTATAATTTATTTAACAAACGTGTGCCCAACAGTAAATATTTTTTTCAAAAAAATGTGTTAGTTTTAAATAACCTCTGAAGTTTTTTTTTTGATCAGTAACTTTATTCCACAGATGATTGCCATATCGTTTACAATATTTGGAAGAATAAAGTCGGGGGGAGAAGAATCCCAAAACTCTGAAATTCTAGTGCTAAAGCAGTGTTTTGCCATAATGTACATGTTAGTTTTAAATAACCTCTAAAGTTTATTTATTATATGAGCTTCACCCTAACTATAATGGAAGTAAAAAATATATAATATAATACCACTATGCTCTATGGATTACTTTGTGGCATTTCCATGAATTTTCGTGTGTTTTTTCTTATGTGTTTATATGAATATCCTGAAATATCTTGGTGGAGGGTTCTAGACGGTGTTGATAAACTCTAGTATGTAGAATAACTATTTGAAGTTTGAGATAAGAACTAATACTATTATGGCTTGGTGTATGGTTTTCAACTTTGTTACATTTTGTTAATTTCCTCAGTGCATAATTATTTATGTATATTCATGATCACAAAAAAGGTAGGTACAAATCATAGTTAAAGAAGATACTCGAACATAAGAGAAGACATTCCCCAAGAGAAAAGCGACGCAATTTGGAGCACATGCACATTATTCATGTCGTCCCGAATTTGTTTGGTCAGCCGATGTTTTGAATTTGACCTCAATTTGATGGGATAGACCCTTCTGCGGTGGCCATTGGAAACCTCGCCAGGGCCCTAAAAAACTCAGTTAACGCCCACCTAAGCCTGTTTGGGCCACTGAGGCCTACCCCCCTCTCCTCACTCATTCCACAGGGAGCGAAAAGGAAGGTAACTACCACCATCGCAACTACGTTGTGACACACATAGCTATATTCGCACCCAGACCGTAGTCTTGAATTAAAATATTATGTCTGTTTCTAAGGAAACAATCATAAAGTGGTTTATTTGAACAACCAATGCGAAGTTAAAAACGGTAGATAAAAATGTACTAAAATAAATTGGTGGTACTTGAATAATTAAGATGTTCTCGGGGTTTAGAGTCATCACTAATAGTATGATCTACATAAGATATGCAAATGCATAGTTCTAGGTTCGCATAACTAAGCCACCTTGCATTATTTCTATAAGTGGGCAGAGCCTAGTACAACATACGTGCATACGTGCATCAGCCACATATCACACACGTCAGCACCATTCCTCCCCACATTCATGTTATGGAAACAACAATTAAGGGTCTTCCTGTGGACCCTGCCAATGGGCGGCCTCCATTATTCCCCTATAAAATGATCAAAGAAGGAAGGGAGGATATTACTTTCACCTCTTCACCTCCATTTACAACCATCACACGGGTTTAGCGGGGTCTTAAGGAGGGAGGTAACTTCTATCACCGCAATATCTCTACTCCTCGCTTCATCTGGATAGTAATATCCTTCATGTCCAAATAGGCATATGTTGAGTGGTGTGTGTGTGTGTGTGTGTGTGTGTGTGTGTGTGTGGCCTCTATGGGTCTCCTTTGTGAATCCTCCACCTACCCCTTCATCCAAGGGCACTATGGGAGCAAAATCCTCTCCCAATACCTCCCTTGGTCGCCAAGGATCGTGTAGGAACAAACCTGACGAAATCATTGAAGAATTGCAGAAGTTGTGTCTGATTTCACAGCCTTCATAGGCTGGTACTAGTGCTGATACGACCTGGCATGGTCGTGCCATGTGTCGTCTGTTCTTCTGGAGTCTGCATGTGCAATTTCATATTTAGGTTGTCATTTCTTCATGCAAACTCTGATTTTGGGTGTTCTTGTGCTCCTTGGATTTGTCTTGTAATGCCCGATACACCCATAGTGTTGGGTCTTAACTTTGGACATTTTGGAAAATATCAAAATATCCAACTCTTCAGAGGGTTGGCAGGCTAGTAGAGTGGTGGATGGAATTATGGTGACAGACATTTTAGATGTATTTTCTCTAGGTGAAAACTCATAACCATGCATTTTGGCTCGATTAGGCAGCATTGACATCCGCGCATTGTTACCTTGTTGAAGTTGTTGGTTCGAAGAGGGGTGATAGCCTTTGGTCTGGCATCTGGTTTGACCAGCCAACATCGGCGCGTGAGCGACAGTTCCTTCTTGAAGATGTTGACTTGGGCGTTGCACCCTTTTCATGTTGATGTGTCATCGTAGGTTTGACAGTATGATTGAAGATGTCGTGGCATGAGGCATATCCTATGTGGATGGCCTTGGATTTTATTGTCTTCTTTGTAAGCCAATATGTTCAGCATTTTCAATAATGAGTAATAAATGTTTGTGTGCATCGCTCAATGCAGAGGCAGATGGTTTTTCCTCTTTTCAAAAAATAATAGAAGTGCGCTGCTAAAAGGGATCTACAGATGAGCTGCTTGCACGCATGTCACAATCAATCAGACATGAGTTTTTTGGAAGAAAAAATCCTAATTTTTCGAATGCAGGAGTTTTTTGAAAAAAAAATCAAAAATTTTCAAATTTACTGTTCACTGTGTGGGTGCACCGAAGTTGGGTGCAGCCACTATTTTCCCATCAGACAATGAGAAAGGGCCAGCGGATAAGTTTAGATTACCGTTCACTTAACACCTAATTACTAGGGTTTCGTTCACACAACCTCATCTAACCTTCAAATAACCCCCCATCTAGGAACGTCCTACATATACACATGAACAGCTGAGCGCTCCTCTGTCAGACACATGCACACACCGACACCGAGAGAGGGGCAGGGGATATGGGGAGGAAGCCATGCTGCGCCAAGGAGGGCCTGAACAGAGGGGCGTGGACGGCAATGGAGGACGACATCCTGGTCTCCTACATCAACGATCACGGCGAGGGCAAGTGGGGAAGCCTTCCCAAACGAGCTGGTAGGTTACAAACACCATCGTATCTAGTCTTTTGCTCTTCGCCGAACATTGCATCAATACATACATTTATCGATTATGCGTGCGATTTTCTCTTAGTTGACCGATCTCTCCTCCAAGCTCTTTCTAGCCATTGCAACTGAAACAAAGAGTGTATGTGTGCGTATGCTTGAAGAAGCCAGGTGGCTGAAACAAGGAATGCGGCAAGAGAGAGGGCAGGGGGACATCACTAGTTTAGCATAGCTCGAGATGGTCGTGTTGAGTTGTTAACGGCGTGTGAGATGTTGTGTGCAGGGCTGAATCGCTGCGGTAAGAGCTGCCGGCTGCGGTGGCTCAACTACCTCCGGCCGGGGATCAAGAGAGGCAACATCTCCAACGACGAAGAGGAGCTCATCGTCAGGCTCCACGGGCTCCTAGGCAACAGGTGCACATCTATGTTGTTTTCCTTTCATTTGCATCGTGCACATTTTCCGTTGTGTAGATGATCAAGCATTGTATATTGTTGTTTACTTACACTTACACTTACACTTGCATTTACATGCATATTCCTAATGTAATACGTAGTATATAGTGTGAACGAAGATGTACAAGTCGGTCTTTGGTCGTGGAGGAGTATTAATTAGTCACACTTGCTTGACAAAATTTAGTATTAGTAATAAACACCAAGGTCATGCTAATACCTTTCCGTTGGAATTTCATTTTCCTTTTCCCTACATGGGAGACAGAGAGAGATGTATGATCAGACAAAGTAGGCCAATGCCTGCTAAATGAATATAGGATCCAGTTATCATGATCACCTGTACACACCTACTATCCATATCAGTCAGCGTGCATGTTCCCAATTCAGCCATGCCCGAAGAAAAGAACAACCTCTTGCTGACAGCCTGAATGCGTGTCCCTAGCCCCAAGAGGTAAACGAGTTATTCGGTCAGCAAAGTTGATGATGACATGCATTCATTCATGCATGCATGCATGCACAACCACTCTGATCTACTCCCTCTGTTCCGAATTGTATGTCGTTAAACGATTCGACGAACAAATTTTCGTAGGCTACGATTTTCCCTGAGTTTCCCATTCTACCCCTCCGATCGACACGTTCCCCTCTTTCTCGCCCGACGCCACCGACCACTCTCTCCCCACTCACCCCCGCTCTCTCTCCCTCGCGCGCGACGCCCCCGCTCGCCTCTCTCTCGCGCGCGACGCCGGCCACCAGGCGCCTCTCTCTCTCGCGCGCGACGCCGCTCTCTCCCCGTTGATGCTCCCTCTCTCTCCCTCTCGCCGGCATCTTGCTCCGCATCGCCGCTCACCGCTCCCCACCACACAAAGCTGCCATTTTTATTTGTCGGCGACGGCTGCTGGGCGAGGAGGAGCTGGATCCACATGCGCTGGTCCTCGATCTGCTTGTGGATAGGCGTGAGGAGTCGCTGAAGCGGAGCCCAAGCGGCACCGGCGCGGGCGTGAAGACGACGGCGGGAGGATCTGGAGCCCGAGCGGGAGGATCTGGAGCCGCATCTCAAGTACTCCGGCGACACAACGGCGCTTGATGTGGAGCCCCACCGGCGCCGCTGCCGGTGGTGGGGCACCAGTTCTGCGCGCCCTACGTGGTGCCGCTGACGGTGACCAAGAAGGCGCTCAGCCTCTCCGACGGCGACTTCGCCATCACCGATGCCAACGGCGCCATCGTGCTCAAGGTCAAGGGCGCCATCTTCAGCATCCGGAGCTGCCGCACCATCCACGACGGCGCTGGGATGCCCCTCCTAACCATGCAAGAAAAGGTCCCTTCTCCACTACAGCTTTGCTCCTTTGTCTGTCTGTCCATCTCCCCTGGCCTGGCGCTGCTGAAATTTCCTCGATCCATAGACATGTCTGCAAGTTCTTTGCGGAATAGGATCGTTGACCCGTAGACAACGGTGAGTTGAGTCGTCGCAAATTGCAATAGTCTTGCATTTTTTTTAGCTGGGGGAGGAATAATCTTGATTCTTCAAGTTGAGCTGGGCGAGGAATAATCTTCATGCTCACAAGTCACTGATTTGTAGTGATTTAGAGAAGTTGCAGTAAATCTGAATTACTCCAGTGTGCAGATTTGCAGTAAACTTTATTACTCCCTTCTTTTTCAGTAAAGTGTAGGAGTAAAATAAAATGAAACCTTTTCCTTTAACTAACTTAAAATCTTTTTGCATCAAGGTTGACCCCGTCTCCTCTTTGATGGAACATATTCTTCTTCTTCTTCCCTTTGAACAAGACCTTTGAACTTGATAACCGGCCGGCCGGAGTAGATTGGTTGAATTTGGGTGTGTGGTAACTGCAGCTTGTTTTCCTCTCACCATGGGGCTGGGTAAACTGCAGTTATTAGTTAAACTTCCCTGATTTGTTTTCTTCTCGATTTGGCCAGATGGATCAAATGTACTGAAACTTTGCTTATTCTCATGAAGCAGCTGTAGCTTCTTTTAAAAGTTGTCGTCTGTAGCTTGTGTTAATTTGTCTACTGAAACTTGGGCTACTGAAGCTTGTTAACTTGCATAATATTGTGAACTTAATTGTTGCTTGCATATTAATGACAGTAAAATCATGATATGAGTAGTTTCTGTAAAATCATGACATGCCATACAAGCTACTCAAACTCAGGAGTAGTTTCAGTAAAATCTATTCTATGGACTTGCTGTTTAGTTTTATTTAAAATTAGGAGTAGGAGTAGCTCTTGGAGTAGGAGTAGGAGTAGTTCTTGGAGTATGAGTA